ATAGAGTGGTTGAAACTTGGAATGCTCCGTCTCTGGATGTTATGTCCGCTTCATTTGAAGTAGTTAAGAGGAAGCTCGATTGTTATAGCAACGCCCACTAACACCAGCTGAACCCTGTGGTCTTACTGCAGAAGAAAAGAATATTGTATTCTTATTGCATTACTTGCTAAGTTTGAGTAACATTTATTTATGTAATAATTTTCTGTATCAAATTCATCCCATAAGCAAACAGCTCACTTACGTCGACCACCAACGGACAGTAACGATCGTGGCAGATTCTCCTGTTTTCGTCACGTTGATGGCAGCCTCTGCAGTCGACAAGGGCGTACCGTGCTCGCAGTTCCGGCACCTCGAGGAGCTCGAGATCTCTACGACACCTTCCTTGGTGTTACCATGAACTTACGGCCGACATCCGTTAAAGCCTCCCTGTCCCGTCCTAACACCGTCATCAGCATGACGCTCCTATCTCGCGTGTATTTCCTCCCATGAGCGACAGTTTTTTTCCTTAAAACCCCTCCAAATTGCATTCAAAACCTCTATAGTTTCCGAGAATTGCGCAAGGAGTTTTTTTCACTGTGGGCTCTTTTTTGATTTTCTCCCATTTAATAGCTCGTGTAATTGACATCGCCTATGAGCCGAGATATGTACCATATTTATGTAATTCTGCTACTCGTGATGAGTGAGTAGTGATGTATGTTCACTATTTCCCACTGACTGACGGCTGCTAGCTTTTGCCTACAATCATGTGAACGACCACTGCTTACATTTTTCTAATCTATAGATGCAGTTTCCTTCACTATTTCATCAATAGGGAGCTCAAAGGCGTTCGCATATCCTTCTCTGACTAAAACTGAACTGCACTGCACTGAAAATTTCACTTTTTACAAACGGCTGCCCTGCTCAGCACAGTCGCCTCTCATGTGATTCTGGCTATGGATACTGCCTTCCTGGAGCTAACAAATATAAATTCCAAATAAATTCCAAGACTTATCATTTATGCGTTCACCATCATTTTTCATGGAGGTCTTTCGACGCTGGAATGCCAACCGGCGGTACGATAAGTAAAAACTGGAAGACGCTTTCAAGAACGCTTTTAAGAAGACGCACGACCGCTGTAGAAGCGGATTCAGAAGATCTCCAGCAGCCAAAATCCCAAGGGTGAACCTGGGCATAAGTATATTTTGATGTAGCATATGCTTTGCACATATAAGCATTACAGTGTCATATTCAATTGCAATATATTCTTAATATTTACAATGGGTGGACAACCTCAGTGCCTATATACTCCTCAGGATTATATTCCTACCCTGACAGCACACACCCAAAACTGGGCGGGGGTGACGACGGGGTCGGGGGTGCGGGCGTATCCACAGTTGATTTTTAAGGAATATTCCCCAGCCGAAATGTCCAGAATGCTATAGACGGACCTAAACGGCAATCTAACTCATTTTTGACTATTTAGAACTTAGACTGCGTTTTTAGGTGACATTTGATATTGTTTTTACGGATACTTTGATAATACGCATACTGGCACTTAGAAGGCGAGCCCGATTGGACACAACCTTAATTTCTGCTCTCCAACGTAGACTATTTGG